TAACGTGCTTAGGTTACATGCAATGGATGGATGGATGGAAGGATGGATGGATGGAAGGATGAATGGATGGATGGATGGATGGAAGAATGGATGGTGAATGGATGGATGCAATCCTCATCAGTATCGCAGAGCCAACCATACATACACCTATCCATACCTCACGTGTTCTTCATTTCTTACCAGTTGAAGCCATGCGGTGCTCCACCGTTATCAGTGGTGAAAATAATCACCGAATCTTTTAACATTTTATTCCTGCTCAATGCTGAATATATGTCTCCAACTGATTGGTCTAACGACGTTACCATGGCAGCGTAAATACGTCGCTGCAACTGATCGATGGTGTCTGTAAATCTCTAAATGCCAAAAAGCAAGAAAACTTAAAGTCAGCTTTTTTATTCTAATCGTCGGTGCGCGCACGTTGCTATTATACCAACGAAAAACGCCTGACTTATTCGTTTCATCGTGCTCTTTGTCGTGCTCTTATTGGGCATTATCCAATTACAAAACAGCAACCCTAGGATTCAACTTCAATCCCCTTCGTTTCTGAAGAGGGTCTGGATCAATGGGGGAGAGGGGGTGGGGAGCGGAGGATGGTCCACATGTCATTTTTCAGTTTAAATTTCGTTAGCTTATTTGTTTGACAGTTAAAACATGTCAGGGAAATCCATAGCTATCGTACTAGGCACCAAGACTTACTCCGCATTCCACAAGCTAAAATCGACAAACACCAAGGTAGCTTTCGCATAAATGGAGCGCACACTTTCGACCAACTTCTGTTACACATAAGGCATAGTTCCAATCTCGGAAAGTTTAAGGAAAAGGCCAAGCACCATTTTAAACTCTAGGAATAACTACCTACGCTTGTTTTGAACTATTATCATATTGTATCGTATTGTAACTTGTAATTCATGTTGTGTTTAATTACTTTGTAATTATATTTATTTTATACGGGACTCTATTTAAACGAGCCTGTGCTAAATTAGATGTTCCTGTTAAAATATTGAATAAAATAAYAYGAAAAATAAATTTTATGGGATTTGTGAGTCGTCCGGTAGTAAACCTTATCCAGACCCTCTCTAATGAAGACCATAATCATATGCCTATATTATATGTCTATATTTTGAAATCTTTCACCTGATTCCTTGACTTTTATCAACAGGATCTCCATTACTCACATTGATCTTGTCTTGTGGTGCTTGTAACGGCTCGTTTGGATTAGCTGAGTCTATATGTCTATATTAAATGTCTATATTTTGAAATCTTTCACCTGATTCCTTGACTTTTATCAACAGGATCTCCATTACTCACATTGATCTTGTCTTGTGGTGCTTGTAATGGCTCGTTTGGATTAGCTGAGTGTGCTGCTTGATGTGCGAGATATAAAAACAAGGGTTGGCTCTTGTCGTGGTTGTCGATCACTTTGACAGCTTCTCGTGTGAATAGTTCTGTCCCGTACACGCCACTCTCTGTGCTAACAGGCTGGTCATCAAAAGGTAAAAGTTAATCCCGTATGACACTGGAAGGCGCAACAGAGCTAGGGCTAGGGCTGTCCACAAGTTGCTCGAATGCTTTTACGATTTCGGGCAACTTTTAAGCAAGTTTTTGGCAAATTTTGAGCAACATTATTGAGTTTCTGGTGATGTTGGTCTGGTCTTCAAACGGATCAATTTTACCGAATTTTTTACGTTTTTTTAATGATGCATTGTGTGCAGTAGAGGCATGCTTTAGCGTGCCGTGCCGTGCCATGCCATGATATTATCGTGTCGAATTGAAGATTAAGGAATTCCCTCTATTTTGTCACCAAGATACTGGGCAAAATTGTTTTTTTAGACTATTTTTAGCTTGCGTAGACTAGGCAAACATTTGGGTAACTGGGAAAACGTTTCGGTAAACTGGACAGACGTTTCGGTAAACTGGGCAAACGTTTGGGTAGACTGGGCAAACGTTTGGGTAGACTGGTCAAACGTTTGGGTAAACTGGGCAAACGTTTGGGTAGACTGGGCAAACGTTTGGTTAAACTGGGCAAACGTTTGCGTAAACTGGCCAAAAGGGACTGACATTTCAAATAAATTACTCCCACATTTCAACAGGGTATCCCCATTTAGTTTCAAAAAGGCCGGTTAATATTACCAACGGGAGTCCAGAAACGTTGCAAAAGCAGTTAATTACTTCACTTAGTTTCTCAGAACTTTCTCCAAGTTTTCTACGCTTCGTTGTGTTGGGAATATTAGTATGTTGCTATAGGTACTGTCTACCCAAATGGTTGTCCAGTCTCTGCCCGAGACTTAAAATAGTACCCAATTTCTTTTGGACAATATGATTGGTTAGCTTGATGAGTACTTACTTCCATATTGTCTCTCAGATCAATTCCCCAGAAATTATTCTCGTCAGAGGTGTGGTTCCAGTAGTCAGTCTTTGCGTTCCAAAACCCGTAGAACGAGTCAAATCCCCGGTACACCGGGGTATATTCCTTGGTGAAGAAACCTAGATGCCACTGTAATTCAATAAGATAGAGGTTTTGCATCATCACGTGACGGCAGCCATGTTAGATGGCAGGAACAATACAATCGTTTTACATAAGAAAAAATTCACCTCCCAAGGGCAAAGGGATTTTATTGTTCTGCCATCTAACCACAGGCAGCCCAAGCGTTATTATGGGCTTAGGCACGTGATGGTGCAAAACCTCTATTAGCAAATCAAATCTGATGTAAACATTGGTACCTCGGTTCGGGATTCGAACCACCACCCAAATGCCCCCACTAGATCAACCACTGCATTTGATAATATATAGACCCTACCTTGCCGACCCCAGCTGTGCGGTAACCCTGTGTTTTTAGGTACATCGGTAAAGTAATCTCGTCCAGCGGTAATCCATATGGCTGTGCTGCGTATATCACAAAATGCTGCATACCTTGAAATAGACATAATAAATGCAAATGAATAGATGGTCACGTGATGACGTCCATGCTGGATGACACGCTGGGGCTTAGTTCGTACTGTATAAAGTATTTTGTTGGGCTCCCTGTGTACCTACCTAGATGTATTGGGTATTTCCCAGACATAATAGATGCTCTTGATGGCGTACACATTGGTGATACGTAATAATTATTAAGGATAACTCCATTATTTGCCAAGTGGTCGATGTATGGCGTGGGAATCTGGGGAGATCCATGAAAACTGACGTCATCCCAGCCCTGTTGAATAAATGATTATACATTTTCAGGGGGAAAGGAAGAGGAGAGTCAGTGTTGTTTGGCAGTAAGGAGGATCGATAACCAAAATTACCTGGCAAAAAGTGTCTGTGTTAAGTGTAACACAGCACGCAATGAGGTGTTTTGAGGTGAGGCTTATCATATTTCTTGCTAGTGTCCCTTATGATCATTTCACTCAGAGCGATCTAGTTGATCGACTAAAGGTGATATTTTATCACCGTTGTTTTGACTGTTGTCTACAAAACTTACAACGGTCTGAGTTGGTAAACTTTGGAATAAAGGAAGCCAAAGCCTCAGTTTCTTTATGTTAAAGAAGTCATAGAACATGAAGATTACTTTGATTAATTTGTGAAACTGTAAAAAAAAAATTTTTAATTGAAACTGTCACATGATACAATGAACTTCTGTCACACGGCGGCCATGCTTATTCTTATGAGAACATAAAAACGTTATAGATTCATTCTCAAATATTTGAATGCGAGGCTACGCGTGGTGGAATCCATTTTTCAAACCAATATGACTGCCGTGTGAAAAAGGCCCATTAACTTGGAGTAGCGTTCTCTCGGACTTGGGCCACGTCCCGTGGATCTGCGTGGATATCTCGAACCTTTTCCCTGGTCCCCCAGGAGATAATGGGACAACATTGTAGTTAATGTTTGTTTTATCTTACCAGGTCATCTGCTACTATCATGATAATGTGTGGTTTTCTTCGTGGGTGTACAAAACCCAGTAGACTGGAAAAGATCACTACGAATAACAATACCCTGCAAGCACAAAAAGTGAACTATGATATAGAAGATAACTCTGGCAACGGTACGGTACCAATCAAATGCGGCACTCAAATGGCGTCCAAAACAATCACTGACACCATACTGTAGCACTGAAATGGTTTCCATTCTGGACCGATCAGAGTTTGTGATGATAAAGTGCACACTGAGAAAGCTACGATACTGTAGCACTGAAATGGTTCCATTCTGGACCGATCAGAGTTTGTGATGATAAAGTGCACACTGAGAAAGCTATGATACTGTAGCACTGAAATGGCTTCCAAGACAATCACTACCGCAAAGTCGTAGCACTGAAATGGGCTACATTTTGAACCAAAGAAAGTAAGTAAAGTACACACTATGAATTGGAAAGCTACTTTGTCACATTACACAAATTCAGCAGTGGAGAATGATTCTGGATTTCGGGTTCCAGCCAGTCCGTGTTCCGAATTCAAGCATTCCATAACCAGCTTCCATTATAGATGCACCGAAATCAATTTCCGCATAAGGCCTCGGATCCATAATAAAAATTAACCAATAACCCTTATCCGTTAGGCAATTCCCTAGTGACACAGAACAACATTCCTGGATCCAAAGTCCTTGTTTCGGATCTATAAAACAGATGTTGGAATCTGCTACCTAAGTATGATTTCATTCTATGACTTAAACTCTCCCAATGACTCTAATGTTGTTCTTCCTAATGTTTTTATTTATTTTATTATTCACCAGCTTTGACCTGGTTTTCCCGTTCATTAACTCGATATGAAGGTCAAGAACTACGAACCGAGAAAGGGTAAACGACGTACGCGAACTGAAAAAGCCGGGACTAAGAGAGGGAGACTTCCCACCGCTCTAAGATATTCTAAGATCAATTATTTCACGATATTTGGTAAGTAATCAACTGCGTGAAAGCTAGAAAAATATATCTATATGATCATACTACATCAAAAGTCTGAAATTTTTGTTTGTTTGGTTAACTTACCGCCATGTTTGTTGATATCTCTTTAGTACTCTGCCTAACATGGTATTCGAGAAATATTTATAAATTTGCACAAAGAATACATACAAAACACTCAAATCTCATAATTAAAAGGTTAGGTTTTCCAGTAAGGTAAACAGAGTTTATTTGCTGGTTGTTATGGGTTTTCACCTGTTGTTTTCGCTACGTGACCACTGTTGGGGTAACTGTGGTATACATGTTGTTGGAATGATCTGATTTTATTTTTTTTGTGGGAAATGCTTGATTAATTTTTCTTTATAGACTTCATCTCAGTATTAGTCACTCCGAGGTTGAGAAAAAAACTGGGTCGAGTTGGCATAGCAGAGCATTGTGGGATTGTTTTAGGGGACGAAATAGACGCCATCTTGGAAATATGCTCCCAAAATAGTCCAACAATGCAATGCAGTTCTAACTTGACCTATTTTTTTCCTCGACCTCGGAATGACTATTACATGACCCGGATTAAATAAATTAATGAAAAATAAAATAAGAATAAATCAATAGAGATTATCATATATTAAGAGCTCGATATCGTTTAATTTTTTATTCACGAGTTTCCGTATCGCGAACGAGCGAGTGAGCGATATCACATGGAAAACGAGTGGATAAAACATATCAGGCTCTAGGGTCGATAAAATGACAAAGTTTAGAATTTCCAGTTCACCGTGAAGTGATATGGTTTTTATTCGCGGCTTTATCACACACTGTTATCGATCCTAAATCTGTAACTAGACGCATGACTGCGTGACCTCGGGCTTTCTCTTTGACCGTGAAACTCCATAGACTCCATATTTTTCGCAGTCAGCAACGAGACCTTGAGACAATTCGCCATTACTCGTCGACCATGTGCTTTTACGGCGCATACTACCACGCATACGCACTACATAGAATCAACGCATGCGCTGTGAACGCGACGGCGATTTGTGACTGAACGCAGAAAACGAAGCCCAATTTATAACTCGGCCGTTTCCTTCGGAAAAGCCCGAGTAATAAAGGGGATTTAGCAGTGACATCTTCTAAGAATGGCTCTTCTTCCACTGAGCCCAGTTTGCAATTTAAAAGCTGATTTTTGTAGAAAGAGAGAAACCGAAAAACCAAGAGAAAATCCTCAAAACACGCAAAAGAACGAAGACCTACTCACATGTCGACATTAAGTTACAAAGAATTCTCTCTCAATGGGCTCCCTGTGGTGTCTTTCCTTATCTGAACCCAAATTTCATAACGAGTTTTTTTTTGTTTTTTGTTTTCCTCTCACACTGCTAATTTATTTCTTGAACTCAATACTTCTCATAGCCGTTCTTCAGTACTTGATTGCGTGGGGTCACGCTTACAAGACGCGGGCGGCTTAAGTACCCTAAGGTCAGCTCTATTAGTTTCCGGAAATTAAAAGAACTGTGATATTTATTTCGTAGTGTTTACGGATTTTCAATTTTATTACTTTTATTTCAATCGATCGAAAGACAGACACAGAAAGAGTATTACCACTATAAGGACTAGATTTTTGATCACTCGCTCGATAGCGGTGTCCGAGGGACACCGATACGTCGGCTATATACTCTAATTTTCATCTCAATATGTACTTCCAAACCTTTACTTATAAGGAGTTCATTTAAAAGTTCATTGGAAAAACGATTGCCATTTTCATCATAGCAATGAAATCGGATATCTTTACACAAATATATCAGAATGTTCACTGAACCATGAGATTTCAGTATTCCCATCTATCAATTATTGTTAAGCCTTTTGTAGGAAAATCCTCCTGTTTGTGCTACATAAAATGAGAGGAATTCAGTGAGAAAGAAATTTCAAAAAGTTTCAACAAGTTCAGAAATCAGACTATATGAAAAATCGGCCAGAATTATTTGAAAACCCAAAAGTGAAATAAAACTACTTTGGCTCGCTTTTTCTCAAGTAAAAGCACCTCTGCCCCTGAAGAATCTGGTTGTACTGTGGTGTAATAGGCCACCATTCTAGCACGATACTAGGAAGGGAATTAACATATTTGCGAATTTTGCAATATTCTTTAACAGTACTAATAAAAAAAAGTTCGCAATTTTCTTGATACCGTATTAAAATAATTTAAAATTACATTATATACTAGTAAAAAAAAGTTCGCAATTTTATCAACTTTCATAATTTGCGAATTTTCGAACCGTATCATACTATATACTAGTAAAAA